CTTGAAATAATTGAATTGCGGAAAAACGAAAAAGTAATGTATTATTGAAATATTTGAATTATCGTAGGGTTATAATCGTCCAAAAAATAATTATCACTTAATGTGATATTTAATATATTATAGATGATAATATTAAAAACAATAGTGGATTTGTAAATAATAATTAATAATAAACGTGAGCATATATTGAAATTAATATTTAATTATGAGCGAATTTATAAATTACCTAGAAAAGTCAAATCTCATATCGTATGTATCGAATTGTTAAGTAATTGAACTCATTAAGTATTAATCCTTGCTTTGAGGTGCTGCTTAGGAATGTCTTTCTACTAATGATTTTCACTTTTATCCCTTAAGAGGAGCGCTTAGAAATGAAATTCCCATATTTGGAGTTTTGACTTTCTAGATAAAATATGAATCAACAATAATAACTAGTAGAATATCTAGATAAAATANACTAGTAGAATATCTAGATAAAATACGAGGTCGTGTTTGAGCCATCTTATTGTATAATGAGAATGAAAAATATAGTCATTATTGGGCACACACAAAAGATAGAAAATTTGAATTTAAATATTGATATGATGGATAACGATTATATTTTTTATTTTAATGAGATAAAAAGGTGGTTCAAACATAGAGATGACAACGGGCAAGTTCGGGGAACTGGGTTGAATCAACAATAATAACTAGTCACATCGAGTATCTAGAAGCTCTTCCATGGAAGCTTCAGAAGAATTTCTCTAATTACAATGATGTATTATAGTCAATTGACTGATCGTTTACGCCTCCGGGCAATTGTCCGCAGCCCTGCCTCGTTTGACTTTCAAAAACTTCGTCTATTGTCATTCAACTTCCATTTGAAACCTAATCCCGCGCTTACGTGTGTCCTCAATATCATCATTAATTAGTAATTACTATGGGTGCAAAAGCATTTGTTTGTTCACTTGTTGGGGTCTACATATTTTTCCCCCCTACACAAACAAGATTAAAAACAGGTTCAAAAACAGAAAATATATATGTCGTTAGGCGATTTGAAAAAAATAAAAAAACACATCACACTGTTCCTCCATCTCCGCCCATTGAATTTGTTCAAGGAGCATTATTCTTTTTTCCTTCCAACAAAATTATTAGCATGCAAAATAATTATCATCAATTATGATTTACGACAATTTTTATGAAGCAACTTAAATTTTTATACATTTATTATTGTATTCAATTTTTACTGTTCGTAAGATTTGAATTATGCTATTTGTACATAAAAATGGTATATAAGAGATTATATAAAACCATGTGAAGGAAGAAAATGGATGAAACAATTGATTTTGCTATAAACTGGAGTACTATTGTGATATTATATAATATATTATATACCCGTTATATACATATAAGAAGACCCGTGGGATTTTTATCATTAATACGTGTCTACAAGACAGTGGCTTAAAAAGGAGTTACCCATACAAAATGCTGGGA